CCGCCCTTTGTCTTCAGTCCCAGGTGAACAGGCCGCTGGGCCCCCTCTGCCGTCCTTTGTTCCCCCCTGGCTGGACCCGGCTGGTCAGGTCCCTGGGCCCCCCTCTCCTCAGCCCATTGACCCCCCGCCCCGGCCAGAACCGGCTGCTCCCGAGCTGGGCTGGGCCCCCCGGTCACCAGTCGCTGGGTCCCCAATCTCCAGGCCGGTGTCCGGGGTCCCAGCTGCTCGGCGAGGTCACACCTGGTCCTGTGCAGCACACAGGGAAACTGAGCCACACACAATGTTCATGCAAACCGTTAAGAAAACCCCCCACTTCGTCACACAGGGAGGTGACAAAATTTGCAGATGATACAAAACTACTCAAGAGAGTTAAGTCCCAGGCAGACTGCGAAGAGCTACAAAAGGATCTCACAAAACTGGGTGACTGGGCAACAAAATGGCAGATGAAATTCACTGTTCATAAGTGCAAAGTAACGCTCATTGGAAACCATAATCCTAACTACACATATAAGATGGGGTCTAAATGAGCTGTTACCACTCAGGAAAGATCTTGGAGTCGTTGTGGATAGTTCTCTGAAAACATCCACTCGATGTGCAGCGGCAGCCAAAAAAGCGAACAGGATGTTGGGCATCATTAAGAAAGGGATAGATAAGAAGACAGAAAATATCACGTTGCCTCTATATAAATCCGTGTTACACCCACACCTTGAATACTGTGTGCAGATGTGGTGGCCCCATCTCAAAAAAGATCTATTGGAATTGGAAAAGGTTCAGGAAAGGGCTACAAAAATGATTAGGAGTATGGAACAGCTTCCGTATGAGGAGAGATTAATAAGACTGGGGCTTTTCAGCTTGGAAAAGAGGAGACTAAGGGGGGATATGATAGAGGTCTATAAAATCATGACTGGTGGGGAGAGAGTAAATAAGGAAGTGTTATTTACCCCTCCTCATAACACAAGAACTAGGGGTCACCCAATTAAATTAACAGGCAGCAGGTTTAAAACAAACAGGAAGTATTTCTTCACACAACGCACAGTCAACCTGTGGAACTCCTTGCCAGAGGATGTTGTGAAGACCATGACTATAACAGGGTTCAAAAGAGAACTGGATAAGTTCATGGGGGATGGGTCCGTCAATGGCTATTAGCCAGGCTGGGCAGGGATGGGGTCCCGAGCCTCTGCCAGGAGCTAGGAATGGGCGACGGGATGGATCACTGGATGGTTCCCTGTTCTGGTCGTTCCCTCCGGGCACCTGGCATTGGCCACGTTGGCAGACAGGACACTGGGCTACAGGGACCCTTGGTCTGACCCGGTACGGCCGCTCTTCTGTTCTTATGTCGCTGCCCCAGAACCAGAAGCCTACCTCAGAGGAGATCCTGCTGATCGCAGAGCAGCTGAACATGGAGAAGGAGGTGATCCGTGTCTGGTTCTGCAACCGCCGCCAGAAGGAGAAACGCATCAACCCCTGCAGCAGCACCCCCATGCTGCCCGCCCAGGGCAAGCCCCCCGGGTACGGCCCGCACATGGTACGTACCGACCCCCCGGGTACAGCCCCCACATGGTACGTACCGACCCCCCGGGTACAGCCCCCACATGGTACGTACCGACCCCCCCGGGTACGGCCCGCACATGGTACGTACCGACCCCCCTGGGTACAGCCCCCACATGGTACGTACCGACACCCCGGGTACGGCCCCCACATGGTACATACCGACACCCCAGTTACGGCCCCCACATGGTACGTACCGACTCACCCAGGTACGGCCCTCACATGGTACATACCAATCCCCTGGGTACGGTCCCCACATGGTACGTACCGACTCACCCAGGTACGGCCCTCACATGGTACATACCAATCCCCTGGGTACGGTCCCCACATGGTACGTACCAACCCACCCCGGGTACAGCCCCCACATGGTACATACCAACACCCCGGGTACAGCCCCCACATGGTATGTACTGACCCTCCGGGTATGGCTCCCACATAGTACGTACCGACTCCCCCCCCCCGGTTACGGCCCCCACATGGTACGTACTGACCCCCCAGGTATGGCCCACACATGGTACGTACTGAACCCAGGTATTGCCCCACATAGTACATACCGACCCCCCAGGTACAGCCTCCACATGGTACGTACTGACCCCTCCCCCTAAGTACTGCCTTTGCATGGTACGTACTGACACCCCCAGGTATGGCCCCCACATGGTTCATACCGACCCCCTGGGTATGGCCCTACATGGTACATACCGACCCCCCCGCCCCAGGAACGGCCCCCATATGGTATGTACTAACTCCCCCCCCCCCCATGGCTCCTACAAGGTACATACTGACCTCCACAATAGGGCCTTCACCAGGCTGTATGTATAGACTCCCCCCATTACCGCCCCCATGTGGTATGTACCGACCCCCCTCCGGGTATGGCTCCTACCACCCCAGATATAGCCCTCACATGTATGTACTGACCCCCCCATGGGCCCCACATGGTACGTACCCCCCCACAGTCCCCATATAGTATGTTCCTCCCCCCCATGGTACTATCCCCACATGGTATGAACTACCCTCTCTGTACAGCCCCCACATGGTATCATCCCGGTATGTGCCCCCGCACAGCCGCCACATAGTATGCACCACCCCCCCGTACAGCTCTCCCATGGTATGTACCGACCCTGCGCATGGGGAGTTCCCCACAACTCACCCCAGAGGTGGGCGCCTCGTGACCCCGACGCTCCGTCTCTCTCTGCCCAGGTGACGAGTCCGGGCCCCGGCGTGAGTCTCCCGCTCTCCCAGGCCTCCAGCAGTCTGAGCACAACAGGTGCGTCCTTCCCCCTTGTTTACGCAGGACCTGCACAAACGGGCCCCTGCCCAGCCAGCAGTGAGACTGCGGCACTTGATTTACGTAGGACCTAGAGAAATGGGGCCGGTTCAATGGGGGGAGACTGAGCCAGCGGAGGCACTGTCAACAGGGAGTAGATTGAATGAGTACTTGAAGGCCAGTGTTTACATAGGACCTACCTAAACTCCGCTAAGGGGGGGCAGACCAAGGCGCTGTATATGCATAGGGCCTATACAAACAAGGACCATGGGGATGAGCCGCTCCTGACTCCCCCCCCCCCCGTCCGCCCCCACTTCTCTCTTGCAGTGACTACCTTATCCTCGGCGGTCGGCTCCCTGACCCCCAGCCGGACGGGGGCGGGCGGGGGGCCTCCCGCCATCAATTCCGCCACGCCGCCCCCCACCAACAACACCAACCCCAGCCCCCAGACCAGCAGCCACGCGGCCATCGGCCTGTCGGGCCTGAATCCCAGCACGGGGTAAGCGGTGGGGCGCCGTGACAGGGACTGAAGGGGGTGGGAGGGATGACATTGCCCCAGGTTGGCACAGTAACTCCGCCCCTAAGGGGGCAGGTACATCCGGTGCCATGGTGGGGGGTGGCACCCTCGCCGAGGGGCCTGGAGCCAGGGCGTGTGGCATACGTGCCTCTAACCAGTGATGTGGGGTGCTTGTGCCCCCTGGCCACGGAGGGCCAGTGCCACGGGGAGGGTGTTGGGGGGGTTCCCCGGCCTAACCTCCTGCGTCTGGTTTGATTTTCAGAAGCACAGTGCTAGGGGTGAACGCGGGGTTAAACCCGGCGCTAATGGCCACCAACCCGCTGGCCACCATCCAAGGTTCGTGGCGCGAGCAGGCATGCCACCATCTGCTCTGCCGGCCGGCCAGGGCGGACGTGCCTGGGTGTGAGTGTGGGGGTTCAGGCACATGTCTGGAGCCAGGTCTGTCTGGGAGGAACGGGGGATTAGCATGTGCAGGAGCACAAAAGTGACAGGCCGGGTGTGAGTGTGAGTTAAAATACTGCCTTTGTGAGCGTGCAAGGAATCCTGGGAAAGCAGAGATCTGGGAGGTGTGTGTATCAGGAGTGTGCGTGCGGGGAAGGCGGATGTTTGCAGAGATCCATGTGTGTGTGTGAGGATCGGGAGTATGCGTGCGAGGAGGGCGGACGTGTGCAGAGATCTGTGTGTGTGGGGGGATTGGGAGTGTGCATGTGTGGAGGACGGACGTGTGCAGAGATCCGTGTGTGTGCGAGGAGGGTGGACGTGTGCAGAGATCTGTGTGTGGGGGGGGATTGGGAGTGTGCATGTGTGGAGGACGGACGTGTGCAGAGATCCGTGTGAGGAGGACGGACTTGTGCAGAGATCTGTGTGTGGGAGTGTGGAGATCCGTGTGTGTGAGGATTGGGAGTGTGCGTGTGAGAAGGGCGGACGTGTGCAGAGATCCGTGTGTGTAAGGCTCAGTAGTGTGCATGCGGGGAGAGAGCTGTGGGGCCAGGGGCGCGTGTCGTCCTGGCAGTTGAGTGTGCAAGGAGTGTGCGAGGCCGGCCGGCGGCACCCCAGACACTCCCGCCTGCTCATTCAGTCTGGGTCCCCTCATCCCATCCATGGCCTGTCGCCAGCGCCGTAGTGACCAGTAACCATCCATCCCATCCACTCACTAATGCCCCTCGCACACTGTGTCTGTTCTGTGTCATTCACGCTGCCCATCCGGCCCTGGAGCTGGGGGCTCACTGCTTGGGGGGCAGGGTGAGGAATGTGATGCACAGGGCCTGTCCCCTCGAGGGGGCGCCGGCTCCCATCCAGCCCCAGG